GGCAGGGAGGGAGGGAGGAGCGGGCAGGGAGGGAGGGGGGGAGGCAAGCTAGGTGCGTTCGCGTCATATCTGACATCCTACCCCTCCCTCCCATCCCTTACCATGGCGTAGATCCCCTCTCTGCTCGCACAGTCGGATGTCGAGCAGGGCAATGATCCCGAAAGGGTACGCGATGCATTGTAGAGCACGGCATGGCATGGCGTAGAAGAGCACCGCAAAGCGTAGTATCAACCTAGCATTGTATTGCATGACGTGGCATGGCACGGGAAATGACGCCAGCGCTGCAGCGGGAGCACGAGCCGGAACGAGCGGAAGCGCGGAAATGAGGCCAGCGCTGCAGCGGGAGCACGATTCGGAACGAGCGGAAGCACGGAAATGAGGCCAGCGCTGCAGCGGGAACACTATTCCGAGCGGGGCCCGAAAATGAGGCCGGCGCCTCAGCGAGAGCAGCATTTTGGAAACAAATGCAGGCGAAAACCCAACTCCGGGGAATCCTGTGTGTAAAAAGCAGTGCGCGGGGGGGGGGGGGGCTGATACTTTCTAACCGTCATCAGGGGAAGAGGGAGAGAAGTATTCATGTTGAGTAATAGTGCAGGGGGGGGAGGGAGGGGCAGGGAGGGGGGGGGAGGGAGGGAGGGGTCGAGGAGGGTGTTGGGTGGGGAGGGGGATGGGCAGGGGGGGTCCGTCGTCTCTGCTCCTGGGTGCCCGTTCGCGGAAGCTCCACTCACGGTGCACTCGCAGTTCTCTCCGCGGGAGGCAAGAGAGGCTCAGCTGGGCACCGTGACTCGGAGACAATGCGTGCGTGCCCTTTTGAGCCACCCTGAGCCTCCTGGCTTGAGCCAAAATGGCTACGGCCATGGGGGATGGTGGAAGGAGGGGGGGGGGTCTCCGGGGGCCAGGATGGGCGCTTGCCGCTGCCGCGCGCGGAGCAGCGCTGGCCGCCGCGGGCGGGCGAGGGCACGTCTTGCCGCAGCCTGTCCAGGGCGCGTCGGCGAGGCGCGGCCCGTCCGCTCGCAGCCGACACCTCCAGGGGCGGCGTGGGAGGGGCGGCGGCCGGGCTCGTGGCGGGGGAGGCGGGCGTCCCCTCCGAGCATTTTCTTCTGGTGGAGGGCAGAGGGTGAAGCCTGACATGCCGTCTCGATGGGTTTTCGAGGCTTGCGTCTGCAAAAGGGCGAATTACAAGACGGATGGATGCTCGAGGTGCCGAAGCCCGTATGGATTGCACCCTGAGCCCTCCCGCCCCCAGGAACATGCGCAGCCTCTGACCGTTTCGTCGGCTCCCGGCGGTCTTCCAGCCTCGCGGTGCTCTCGAGCAGCTGCATCTCGCCGAGGGCGTTCCAGGGGGTGTTCGGATCGTCCCGCACGGCCGCCGCAGAGCCGATACACGTGTGTATACATGTTCTGTCCCTGACATATCTTGCTGTGTTCTCGAAGTCGACCGCTCGACAGGATGTCGTTTCCATAATCCTTTTTGGCTCTGTAGTTTCAGAGGGCCGCGCTCACACCTTCCATGTGGCCATGGTTGGCTGACCGCGGCGCCAGCCTCGCCCTCGGCTACCTCGGGCGCTGCCCTGCGGCGCCGAGCTGCCCGCCCTGCCCGAGCTGCAGCCTCTCCTGCGCGCACGTTGCGTGCCCAGCCGCGCCGCCGTGCCCGGCTTGCCCCGCGGGGGCCTTCTCCGCGGCCGCGCCCCAGGAGGCGCCAGCCGCTCCGCGGGGCCCCCAGGCGCCGCCCACCGGGCCGTGCCCGGAGCCAGCGCCCTGCGCGGGCGGGTCAGGAGGCTGGTGGATCTTCTTGCTGGGCCTCATCGTCGGCGTGCTCCTGAGCGTGCTGGCCTGTGCAGCCTGGCGAGCGGCGGTGGCAGCCGCCCGGGCCCTGGTCGCCCCTCGGGCGAGGCCTGACGCCCCCGCCCTGGCGGACGAGCTGCCCGCTGCCGCCGCCCTCCCAGGCGGTCCCTCAGAGGCGACACCATCGACCTTGAGGCGGCGGCATGGCCCGCACGCTTGACGTTCCAGAGCGGCAGATCTTAGTAGATTTCTTCGACGACCCCAACGGGCTTCGATGGCATATGCGATTGCTCGTCCTGGCCACGCCCAACCCTGGGCAGTGGATATGTTCGAAGCCAGACCTGAGCATTCAGTTCATCGACGTCACCACCCACAGGGTGATCCCCCTCACGCGGGACTCGGAGTTCCCGCGGCGGGTCAGAGGCGAGGTCTACGCCTTCGATCCGTTGACCCCCGAGGAGCTCCAGCTGGTCCGCCGAGAGGCCAAGGAGCTGCTGGCCGTCTACGTGCTCACGGGGGGCGCGGACGCGCAGCCCGAGGGTGGGCGCAGGCTTATCGCCGACCCCGCGCACCCTGGCTTCGGCGACACGCTCCCCGCCGCGGCCCTTGCCGATGCCGACAGCCTCATCATCCGAGGCGACCGCGGCCTCGCCTGCGTGGACGAGGACTGGCTCGCCGTGGAGCGTGTGCTGGACGAGGACCTGGACAACTGGAGGTTGCTCAAGTCGACGGGCGCGGGCCGCGACAGGCGGATCGTCGGATCGTCGGCGACGAGCGCGTGAACGGGGTGCCCGTGCTCTCTCTCACCGCCGCGGCGAGGGCCAGCAGCAAGGCCCTTCGGCCTGGCTGACCCTTCCGCGGCGACTCCTGCGCCCCGGAGCTTTTCATGGCGCTCGTCGCGGCGGGGATCGTGTTCATCACCCACCACCTGGACTGGAGAACGAAGTCGGGGGTCAGTACTACGTCGGGGGTGTGCCGGACGCACCGCCGCATCTGCGAAGGCCTCGACCAGGCCATCTGCTACGACCAACTCGACTTCGCCAACTGCGCGGTCATCGAGCACCTCGCCCGCTGGCTCTACGAAGCGGAGTCGGCGGTCAGGAGGAACCCGAAGGCGCCAGACTTCACGAACCTGGACGGCATCTTCGCGGCTCCCATGGCCGAGGACGGGCGGATGCAGCTGCCGACCTTCTCCAAGTGGGTCTCCTCGCTCCGCAGCGACGAGGCTCAGATCATGAAGCAGGAGCGGCTCTGGGGCGAGGAGCACGGCATCGACCATGCCAATCACAAGGGCAAGGGCGGCAAGGGGCCAGGCCGCGGCGGCGGCAAGGGTCCCAACCCCTCTGCCGAGTAGGGGCCCTCGGCCCCTGGGCGCCCGGGTCAACGGGGCAGGTCCTCTGGCGACGCCTGCTTCGACAACGCCTGCTGCCCGGGCGCCCCCCTCGTCGCCATCTCTGCGCTGGCGCTCCTCGTGGACGCCCCCTTGGTCGGTGGAGGCCCCGACGTGAGCTACGGCGCGGACGAGCTTGGCGGCCCGATGATGCGGGAGATGGCCCTCGACATGGCCCCGCCAAGGACTACCGCGCCATCCAGGGTCACAGTCACGGAGACCCCTTCCCCTCCCGCTGTCTGGGGAGGTGCTCGCGCGCGGCGGCCATGCTGGGCCTGCTTCGCTGTCGCGAGTGCGATGCGTGCGCGAGGCGATCTGGTCTCTGAACGCCCTCGACGCCCCATCGCGCGCCCTTCGGGCGCGCCAGCCTTCTTCGAGCCGTCGCCTCACGGAGGCGCAGCGCTCGATCATCTCGCGCGTCAGCCGGCGCCTCGAGAGCTACGGAGAACGACCCGACATCCTGCCCGCCACCGCCTACGCCGACCTCATCAAGAGTCACGACTTGTACTCGGGGCAGCCGATGAACCCGAGGCCGTGCGACTCCAGCCTTCTCAAGGTGCTCCACGGCGACCGACGCCCCTAGGAGTTCCGCGGCTGCCTGGGCACCGAGGGTCGCAGGTACCTTGACCACGCCGACGAGCTTATCTTCAGGACTGAGGCCGAGCTTGACGTCCTCCAGGAGAGCGAGCTGATCCAGCCCATCACGCCGCATTGGGACCCGATTCTGAAGAACAACCGCCGCGCCAGGATAGACTTCATCAAGCGCCTCGCCTCCGTGGGCCTCGTCGGGTTCAGGCTCTCCATCCGTGGCCGCATCGGCGCCTTCTGCGTGGGCAAGAAGGACGGATCCCTCCGCCTCCTCCTCGACGGGCGTGAGCCCTCCTCGCTCCACAGGAGGCCGCCCCACACCGCCTTGGGATCCGCTGGGGCCCTCGCAGGGCTCGACCTCTCTGACCAGGCCCTGCGGTCCCAGGGCGTCGATCCCCAGGCGGCCGACATCCACGCGGCGGGCCTGGGCCTGAAGGATGGGTTCTACCAGTTCGCGAACGACGACCTCGCGGACTGGTTCGGGTTCAACTACCCCGAGGCCGCGTCCGACTTCGGCGACCCGCTGGTGTACATCCCTGCCGACGGCCGCTTCGTCCAGGTGTCGAGCGACACTCGGATATTCGCGGTCTTTCGGGGTCTGCTGATGGGTTGGTCGTGGCCTTTCTTCTGCTGCCAGGATCTCTTGGAGGAGGCCCAGTGCAAGGGCCTTCTGAGCTTGGGATGGGAAGGCTGAGGCCGCTTGGTGCACGAGAGGTGCCCCGCGCCCTTGCTGGCGCCCGGCTGCCCCCTGCCCCAGCCCTACGTGGGCAATGCCAACGTCATCGGCCTCAGCCGCCGGGACACCGAGCACGCGCTGCGCGGCATCCAGCACGTCATGGACTACTTAGGCATCGACTACCACGACCTGGTGGAGCCCGCGAAGATGCACACCACGGTGGGCGTCGTGCTCGACACGGCTGCGCGCCGCCTCCGCCACGCGGGGGCTCGCGCTTGGCGCCTGTGCCTTGGCGTGGAGCATCTGCTTCGCGTGCGTCGTGCATCTGGCCGTGCCCTTCGAGTCGTGCACGGCCACCTTGTCAACCACTTCATGATCGCGCGGCCGGCGCTCGCGGCGCTGGACGAGGGGTGCCGCTTCATCGCGCAGCACCTGGAC